AGGTATTTTTTAAAACCACAGACCAGCTTGAAGGTGGTACCAATGGTGAAACTTGAAACAACTTGAGTATCAAAATAATGACAGTAACAGATTTATAACTCAGTGACTAGAACAGGGTTCTATCAACCAATATTGATATAAATGACAAACAGGAGAATGTGTATCTTTGACCTAGCCAGACATGGCTTACTTGCTCCCAGAACAGGGTATAGCAATTTACACTCCCACCTAACAAAGTATGAGAATTCCAATGGTTTGACATTCTCACCAGTATTTGGTATTGTCAGACTTGAACATTTTGATAATCAGGTGGGTGTAAAATTAAAACCACGTTGTGGTTTTTCTGTGCTTTTCTGATTACTACTGAGGTTGAGCATCTTTTTGTGTTGAGTTTTGTCTTCTATAACTTCTCAGTTCATATTCTTCAGTCATTTTTCTATTAAGTCGATTTCTTTTTAAAATTAATTTGTTCTTCAGCCTAGAGTTTAATCTTTATTTTTAGCATTTTGTTGGTGGTGGTGGTGGTGGTGGTGGTTTTTGGGTTTTTTGAGATGGAGTTTTGCTCTTGGCCAGGCTGGAGTGCAATGGCACGATCTTGGCTCACTGCAACCTCTGCCTCCCAGGTTCAAGTGATTCTCCTGCCTCAGCCTCCCAAGTGGCTGGGATTATAGGTATGTACCACCATGCCTGGCTAATTTTTTGTATTTTTAAAATAAATGGGGTTTTAAAATGTTAGTCAGGCTGGTCTTGAACTCCTGACCTCAGGTGATCTGCCCGCCTCAGCTTCCCAAAGTGCTGGGATTACAGGTGTGAGCCACTGCGCCCAGCCAATTTTCAGCATGTTTTTATGTGAAGATGTTTTCTTCTCTTTCATTTGAAGTATTTTCATTTTAATTCATAGTCTATTTTATTGTTTGGATTTTTCTATTCTAAGAAATAATTTATCCTTGGTGAACACAGATGCAGAAACGCTCAACAAAATGCTACAAGTCAAATCCCACAGCACATCAAAAAGCTTATCCACTAGATCAAGTAGTCTTTATCCCTGGGAAAAAGGTTGGTTCAACACATGCAAATCAATAAATGAGATTCATCACATAAACAAAACTAAAGATAAAAACCACACGATTATCCCAATACATACAGAAAAGGCTATTGATGAAATTCAACATCCTTTCATGTTAAAAACTCTCAATAAACTAGGTACTGAAAAAACATATCTCAAAATAATAAGAGCCATCTATGATAAACCCATAGACAATATTATACTGAATGGGCAAAAGCTGGAAGCATTCCCATCAAAACTGGCAAAAGACAAGGATGCTCTTTCTCACCATTCCTATTCAACATAGTATTGCAAGTTCTGGACAGAGCAATCAGGCAAGATAAATAAATAAAGTGCATCCAAATAGAAAGAGAGGAAGTCAAACTATCCCTGTTTGTAGATAACATAATCCTACATCTAGAAAACCCCATGGTCTCTGCCCCAAAGCTCCTTAAGCTGATAAAGAATTTCAACAAAGTTTCAGAATACAAAATCAATGAACAAAAAGCAGCATTCCTACACACCAACAACAGTCAAGTTGAGAGACAAGTTAAGAATGCAATCCCATTCACAATTGCAACAAAAAGAATAAAATACTTAGGAATATAGTTAACCAGGGAGGTGAAAGAGCTCTACAATGAGAATTACAAAACACTCCTCAAAGAAATCAGAGATGACACAAACAAATGGAAAAACATCCTATGTTCATGGATAGGAAAAATCAATATCATTAAAATGGCCATACTGCCCAAAGCAATTTACAGATTCAATGCTATTCCTATCAAACTACCAGTGACATTCTTTACAGAACTAGAAAAAGTATTTAAAAATTCACATAGAACCAAAAAAGAGTCTGAACAGCCAAGGTAATCCTAAGCAAAAAGAAAGCAGGAGGCAACACGTTACCCAGCTTCAAACTATATTACTGTAAGGCTACAGTAACCAAAACAGAATGGTACTAGCACAGAAACAGACACATAGACCAATGAAACAGAATAGAGAGCCCAGAAATAATGCTGCTCACCTACAACCATCTGATCTTTGACAAAGGTGACAAAAACAAGCAATGGAGAAAGGACTTCCTATTCAATAAACAGTGCTGGGATAACTGGCTAGCCACATGCAGAGATTGAAACTGGACCCTTTCCTTACACCATATACAAAAATCAACTCAAGATGGATTGAAGACTTAAATGTAAAACCCAAAACTATAAAAACCCTAGAAGAAAATCTAGGCAATACCATTCAGGACATCAGCATGGGCAAAGATTTCATGCTGAAGATGCCAAAAGCAATTGCAACAAAAGCCAAAATTGACAAAAGAGATCTAATTAAACTAAAGAGTTTCTACATAGCAAAAGAACTATCAACAGAGTAAATAGAAAACCTACAGAATGAGAGAAATTATTTGCAAATTATGTGTCTAACAAAGGTCTAATATCTGGCATCTTTAAGGAACTTGGTCAAGTGTATAAGCAAAAAGCAACCTCATTAAAAAGTGAACAAGGGAAACAAACAGACACTTTTCAAAAGAAGTCATCCATGCAGTCAACGAGCATATGAAGAAAAGCTCAGTATCACTAATCATTAGAGAAATTGCAATGAGATACTATCTCACAAGTCAGAATGGCTATTATTAAAAAGTCAAAAAATAACAGATGCTGGTGAGGTTGCAGAGGTAAGGAAATGCTTATATACTGTTGATTGAAGTGTAAATTAGTTCAACCATTGTGGAAAGTAGTCTGTTGATTCCTCAAAGAGCTAAAAACAAAACTACCATTTGACCCAGCCATCCCATTACTGGGTATATACCCAAAGGAATATAAATCATTCTACCATAAAGATACATACACACAGGTTCATTGCAGCACTGTTCACTACAGCAAAGACATGGAATCAACTTAAATGCCAATCAGTGGTAGACCGGATAAAGAAATTTATTCATTTAGGAATTTCTTTATCCAGCCTACTATCATGGAATATTATACAGCCATAAAAATGAGGTCATGCAGGGGCATGGATGGAGCTGGATCCTTAGCAAACTGACGCAGGAACAGAAAGCCAAATGCTTCATTTTCTCACTTATAAGTGGGAGTTAAATTATGTGAACACGTGGACACAATAGGAGAACAGCATACACTGGAGTCAGCTTGAGGGTGGAAGCTGGGAGGAGGAAGGGGATCAGAAAAAATAACTATTGGATACTAAGTTTAGCACCCAGGTGATGAAATAATTTATTAACCAAACCCTCATGACATGAGTTTACCTATAACAAACCTGCACATCTACCCCTGAACCTAAAAGTTAAAAAGAAAAAGAAATAATTCATTGTATCTTCTTTAAATATCAAGCTTTGCTTTTCATTTTTAGATCTCAAAATTATCTGGAACTTTCTTTGATGTATAGTGTGAAGAAAGATGCCAGGATATTTTTATTCATGTGGATAACCTGTTCTTTCAGAACTAACACTGAATAGTCAATATTTTCTTCCGATTTGTAATGGTTCTGCCAGGTACCAAATTCCAAAGTCTATGTGAGTCCCTTTCTGGGCTCTCTATTCCTCTCTCAGCAACAAAATTTCTCATTGTTTTAATGACCATGGCCTTAGAATTAGTCCCAAAATCTGATATGGCAAACTTTCCTCCTCATTCCTCTTAAAATATGTGTTTGATATTATTGAACTTTCGTTTTGTCAAATGTATTTTAGGGCATCTGTCAAGTTAAAAACAAAACAAGAAAAGTGTTTGCATCTCTTAATGTTTTTAATAAATTGCAATTAATGTATTAATTTATTTGAGAAGGATTGACATCTTTTAGACATTGAGACTTCCAATCCACAAACCTCTATTTATTTCTTCTATGTCCCTCAGTAGAATTTAGTAATTTTTTCTATCAAGATCCTGCATGTCATTAGATTAATATATTTTAATTTTAATGTTGTTATTTTAAATGGATTCTCTAAATCCTTGTTTTGAGTAAACCCATTCAAAAAGTAATTTTTAAAATTACATTTTCTATTTGATATAAAATCTCTTTGTGTTGAATGTTCATTTTTCTTTTGAGACAGAGTCTTGCTCTGTTGCCCAGGCTGGAGTTTAGTGGTGTGATCTTGGCTCACCGCAACCTCCACCTCCTGGGTTCAAGAGATTCTCCTGCCTCAGCCTTCTGAGTAGCTGGGACTACAGGCACACACCACCATGCCCAGCTAATTTTTGTATTTTTAGTAGAGCCAGGGTTTCACCATGTTGGTCAGGCTGGTCTCAAACTCCTGACCTTGTGATCTACCCACCTCAGCCTCCTAAAGTGCAAGGATTACAGGCGTCAGCCACTGTGCCCAGCCTGAATATTGATTTTTAAGAGTACCATTTCTTCCAGGACTTCCTATATCCTTTAAAATATTAATGTGAATTTTCCAAATGGAGACAATATGCAAAATTTCCTGGGCTTCTTTGATGATAAAACTCATTTTAATAAAGACTCTATATACCTAAGGTGTCTGGTTTTTTTAAAGGGTGATTACGGATAATATACACAAAACATATATACTTAAAGACAGATAAAATTTGAAAGAGGACTCTCCTCTGGGCAGCTATTACTGATTTGCAAAAGAGGAGAAAAGGCTGATCTCTTTGGCTACTATCAAAAGAATTTTACCCTCAGGCAGACAGATTGAAACAATGCAGTATTTTAGGGGAAAAAAAAGTTCTGATTTCATTTCTGAAATAGAAGTGAATTTATCTAAAGCTGAACTAAAAATCAAGTTGTGTACACCCTGAGGAAGTAACAAACAGGAAACAGAAGTTTGCCACAGAAAGTGGCCAAAACAATAAGGAAGTGACTGCAGTCAGGTGCCACGTCCCAGCAGGAGTATTTAAGGGTCCCTTGCAGAGGCAAGCATCAGACCTCCTTACCTCTCACGTCCTCCCTCCTCACTTCACCTGAGTCCTCCCTACTGATACCATGGGTTGCTGTGGTTGTGGTGGCTGCGGTGGCTGTGGTGGTGGCTGTGGTGGTGGCTGCGGTGGCTGTGGTGGTGGCTGCAGCGGTTGTGGTGGTGGCTGTGGTGGCTGCGGCGGCTGTGGCAGCTGCACCACCTGCAGGTGTTACCGGGTGGGCTGCTGCTCCAGCTGCTGCCCCTGCTGCCGCGGCTGCTGTGGAGGCTGCTGCAGCACGCCCGTGATCTGCTGCTGCCGCCGCACCTGCAGCTCGTGTGGCTGCGGCTGTGGGAAGGGCTGCTGCCAGCAAAAGTGCTGCTGCCAGAAGCAATGCTGCTGCTAGGAGGGGCACCTGCCTCTGGAAGAGGTTGCTGGATCTCCCTTGCCCATTGTAAGCCACCCCCCACCTTGCCCCGGTTCTCTTTCCATCACCGGGAGTCACGCATGTGCTCTCAAGGGCTGTAGATGTGATACCCTCCTCTCTGTCACATCGCAAATCTGTAATTTCAAAATATTGAGTGATATTGAGGTGAACAAGGAAAACCATGAAAGCAGGGGAGAGCCCAGCTCCTGCAAACAATTCACGTGAAGAAGTGGAAACTGAAAACATAGTTACTTTTATGTTTTTCTGAAATTCCTTAACACAGACTTCAGTGCCTGCCCTTCTTTTAACTGCACCATAAATTACATGCTGTTTCTACTCCATTTTCATATCCAGCAGTTCCGTACCGCCAAAAATTAAATTCATAGAATAATGTACCATGTATTGATGGCTAAAGATCTCTTTTACCTTTACTTATTGTCTTGCTATAAAAGGACCTTTTGTGCTGTATAAATTCACCCAAATTAAATAAAGAAACCCTGTTGGGAAGAATTTCCTCTACTGTCAGATTCATTTCTTTTATGATCAAAGTTGTGCTAAGATGCATTATGGGCCCAATATCCAGGCCAGAAACACTTCACATGTAGAAGCAGGTCTCAGCTGGGTCTTATTTACCCAACTTCAATTTCTGTCTCACTGTTTGTGACACTCATTTCTTTGGAGTCAATGGAAATGTTATTTACTCCCAAATTGCCTACATCCCACTTCCACTCACTGTGTCAGGTCAGAGGAGCATGAACCCAATTTGAGTTGCTGACACTTCAAGAATAGCGGATGCTTTACCACAAATCAGCCTAATCCATCCCTGAAAACAATAACCTTAAAACAAATGTAATCCATTTTTTAATCTGCCTTAAATCTTTCCTTTTCTAATCCCAATTACAACTATATGACCTTAGGGCTGGGCACAGTGGTTGACGCCTGCAATCCCAGCACTTGGAAGTGGGTGAATCACCTGAGGTCAGGAGTTTGAGACTAGCCTGGCCAACATGGTGAAATCCCATCTCTACTAAAAATAGAAAAATTAGCTGAGCATGGTGGCAGGTACCTGTAATCCCAGATACTCAGGAGGCTGAGATGGGACAATTGCTTGAACCCAGGAAGCAGAGGTTGCAGTAAGCCAAGATCACGCCAGCCTGGGTGACAGAGCAAAACTTTATCTCAAAACAAAAAAAGGAAGCATATGACTTTGGATACAAAATACTTATCACAGAGGATTTTCAGAAGAGGTCACAACCAGGCCAGGCCAGCAGATATCTGCTCATGCAGAATTGGCTCTGTGCTGGGATGGGTTGAGACATATTGGGAGCAGGTGTGTATGCAGGTGCTGACAAAGTCTAAGGACCCAGATTATGCCCACCTTGAAGATGTGGAGGTTTCAATCTCTTTGTTTTCACTCCAGCATTAATCCTAGAAATGGTGATAATGGCTTAATGTTATATTTGCCAGTTTCAAAGAGTGATTAGTCACCTCATCCCCATGAGAAAAACAAAGCAAAAGTACAAAATGGATCTAAGAGGTTGATCAAGGGTCCACCATACTATTTACATGAAGTCATGAGCAGGAGCATGAAGATTTTTTAAAGTCTCTCTGCAACATGCAGATAAAGACTGAAATTACACTTAGCCAATCCAAACTAAGAATATAGCATAAGTACCTGATTGTTCATGACCCAGGAAGTTGTTCCTCATGTGTAACTAACAGAATAGAAGTTAAACAGATAGCTGGCATGGTGGCTTATGCCTGTAATCCTAGCACTTTGGGAGGCCAAGGCGGGTAGATCGCTTGAGCTCAAGGTTCAAGATCAGCCTGGGCAACATGGTGAAACCCATCTCTCCAAAAAATGCAAAAATTGGCTGGTGTGGTGGCACACACCTGAAATCCTAGCTACTTGGGTGGCTGAAGCACAAGAATCACTTTAACCCGGGGAGGTGGAGGTTGCAGTGAGCTGAGAATGTGCCACTGCACTCCAGCCTAGGTGACAGAGTGAGACTCTGTCTCAAAAAAAGAAAAATAAATAAATAAGTTACACAGAGAGAAAAGTTAAACAGAAAGAAAACATTTACATGATTGAAGAATTCAATGGCAACAACACCTAGTAAATTTAGAAATTGAAAAGAATTAATCTACACTGACTTTGTGGTATATCCTACATTTTTAATAATTTAATAATTTACTTTTAGACAGGAGAATTTCTAAAAAAAAAATTCAGGATAAACGGTGGCTTTTCTCTTTAGAAGAAGTCCAGGTATAGAAAATCCGTGTCCTCTACTGCTAGCCCATCTCAATGCACTGTTATTCACCACTTAAACATCTTCCATAAGCATGATTGAAATCTTCCCTGCTTTCGTGTTTCCTCTTGTCCTCTGTAGACCAAAGAGCAACATCTAAAGATGTGCTCAACAAAACCTTTTGTAGACCTGGTGACAGTCTCATTTCTTAAACAACTAGATCTCATGTGAACTCATTACTGTAGGGAAGGCACCAAGCCATTCATGAAGGATCCACCTTCATGATCCAAACACGTCCCACTAGGCCCCCCTCCAATATGGGAGGTCAGTCACACTTCAACATGAGATTTGGAGAGCAGAAATATGCAAACCATATCATTCTGCCCTTGGTCTCCTAAATCTCATGGCCTTCTCACAATGTAAATACAATCATTCCTTCCCAAGAGTCCCCAAAAGTGTTAACTCATTCCAGCATCAGTTCAAAATTCCAAAATCTCATCTGAGACTCAAGGAAAGTTCCTTCCTCCTATAAGCCTGTAAGAGCAAAAGCAAATTATTTACTTCCAAGACACAATACAGGCATTCAGTAAGCATCCCCATTCCAAAAGGCAGAAACTGGCAGAAAGAAAGGGGTAACAGGCCAGAAGCAAGTTCAAACACAGCAGGGCAAGGCATTAAACCTTAAAGCTCCAAAATAATGCTTGACTCCAGGTCTCCTCATACCCTGGGCATACTGGTACAAGGGGTGGGCTCCCAAGGCTTGGGCAGCTCTACCCCTGTGGCTTTGCAGAGTGCAGCCCCCATGGCTATTCTCATGGGTCATAGTTGAGTGTCTGTGGCTTTTCCAGGCTCAAGGTGTAAGCTTCTGGTGGCACTACCATTTTGGGATCTGAAGGGTGGGAGGGTGGTGGCCCCTTCCCACAGCTTCACTAGGCAATGCCCTGCTAGGGACTCTGTGTGGAATCTTGATGTGGTTTGGATATTTGTTCCACCTATATGCCATGTTGAAACATAATCCCCAATGTTGGAGGTGGGGCATTGTGGGGGGTGATTGGATCATAAGGGCAGATCCTTCATGGCTTGGTGCTGTCCTTGTGACAGTAAGTTCCTGTGAGATCAAGTTGTTTAAAAGCGTGTGGCACCTCCCCCTCCAACTCTGTCTCTTGCTCCTGCTTTTTGCAATGTGACATGCCTCCTTCCAGTTTGCTTCCTGCCGTCAGTAAAAGCTTGCTGAGGACTCCCCAGAAGCCACAGAGATGCCAGCACCATGCTTGTACAGCCTACAGAACTGTAAGCCAATTAAACTACTATCCTTTATAAATTACCCAGTCTCAGGTTTTCTTTATAGCAATGCAAGTATAGCCTATTACAGAGCTTCAACCCTACATTTCCCATCAGGACTGCCCTGGTAGAGCCCTTCTGTGAGGGCTGTACTCCCACAGTAGGCTTTTGCCCAGGAACTTAGGTTTTTTCATACATCCTCTGAAATCTAGGTGGAAGCTGCCAAGCCTCTGCATTCTGCATGCCTGCAGACTTAATACCACGTACAAACCACTAACACTTACAGCTTGTGCCATCTGGAGTGGTGGCCAGAGGTATTTCGGTTATCCTTTGAGCTGAGGCTGGAGCCAGAGTGGCCAGGATTCTGGAAGTAGTGTCCCAAGGCTGAACAGGGCAGTGGAGCCCCAGGACTGACCCCTGAAACTGTTCTTTCCTCCTAGGCCTCTGGGCCTATAATGGGAGGAGCTGTCTCAAAGAGTTCTGTAATGTTTTCAAGGCCTTTTACCCATTTTCTTGGCTATTAGCATCTGGCTTTTAGTAATGGCAGCTTCTCTAGCAAGTGGTTGCTCCATAGTCTGCCTACATTCCTCTCCTAAAAATCTGAAAATAATTTTTCCTTTTTTTTTTTTGAGATGGAGTCTTGCTCTTTTGATAGGCTGGAGTGCAGTGGTACGATCTCAGCTCACTGCAACCTCCATCTCTGGGATTCAGGCAATTCCCAGGCCTCAGCCTCCTGAGTAGCTGGGACTACAGGCGCGTGCCACCACACCCAGCCAGTTTTTCATATTTTGGTAGAGACAGGGTTTCACCTTGGCCAAGATAGTCTCAATCTCCTGACCTCATGATCCGCCCACCTTGGCTCCCAAAGTGCTGGGATTACAGGCACAAGCCACCACGCCCAGCCAACTTTTCCTTTTCTACCATACACCTAGGCTGCAAATTTTCCAAAATTTTACACTCTACTTCTCTTTTAATTAAAAGTTCCAACTTTAAGTAATTCATTTGTTTCCACATTGATCATAGGTTGTTAGAAGCAGCCAAGCCACATCTTGAGTGCTCTGCTGCTTAGAAATTAATTTTATCAGATACCTTATGTTATCACACGTAGGTTCAACCTTCCATGAATCACTAGGGCATGGATACAATGCAGCCAAGTGCTTTGCTAAGACATACAAGGGAGATCTTTACTCCAGTTCCCAATAAATTCCTCATTTCCATCTGAGACCTCGTCAGCCTGGCCTTCACTATCCATATTTCTATCAGCATTTTGGTCACAACCACTTAATTGGTCTCTAAGAAGTTCCAAACTTTTCCGCATCTTTCTCTCTTTTGCTGAGCATGATAAATTCTTCCAACCTCTGCCCATTACTCCGTTTCAAAGCTGCTTGCACACCTTTAGGTATCTTTGCTGCAACACCCCAGTCCTGGTACCAATTTTCTGTGTTAGTCCATTTTGCATTGCTATAATGGAATACCCGAGACTGGGTAATTTATAAAGAAAAGCTGATTTGGCTCACAGTTCTGCAGGCTGTACAAACATGGCAGCATCATCTGCTTCTCTTTTGGTGAGGTTTCAGAAAGCTGTTAGCCACAGTGGAAGGCACAGTGGGGAGCAGGTGTGTCACATGGTGAGAGAGAAAGCAAGAGAAAGAGGGCGGGCCCACTCTCTCTCTCTCTCTTTTTTTTAACAATTAGATCTCACCTGAGGTCATTACCATGGGGAAGGCACCAAGCCATCTGTGAGGGATCAGCCCCCATATTCCAAACACCTCCCACTAGGCCCCACCTCCAACATTGGAGGTCACACTTCAACATGAGATTTGGAGGGGACAAATACCAAAACCATATCAATCTGACAACCCAAATGTTTTTAGCTTTCAGTGGAGTTAGGAAAGGACTATAGGCTCATATCTGAACATACAACATTTATGCAATTATAATATGAACAAATAATGACTCAGATCTCA